GCCCCCCCGGACCCGCCGCCACTGCGGATGACTTTTCACTGCTGTCCTCCATAAAACTGAAGACAAGGCACACCGAGTTCGGCTCCTGATCGCCGACGCCACATTCATCGCGATCGCTTACCTTGCCATCACCAGCGCCGGCTAGCTTCTCTGAGGAAGAAATCCGCAGTACACTCTGAAACTGCCTCTCGAAGAGGCGCTTCAGCCGTGACTTGCCTCCTCCAGAGGTTTTACCCTGATCAGTTCGCACTGACGATCCCTTCAAATCTACCGGCTGAACCTTTGTTGGGAACGGCATCACGCCGCCAAAATTTTTCTTTAAAAAAATTCTCACTACCAGAACAAGCCGTCAATCTGCGTATCCCTCCATTTCCGGAACACGGAGGCTCAACCACCAGCTCAAACTACAAGGATTCGAACTCCGTTCGAACGATCAATCTCACTCTAAACCCTATACCCTTCCTAAAACAGGAAGCCACGGGTTCAATTAAAGCTAGTGGCTGCTATTCGGCTGGGGAAAGAAGATAAATCACGAACAAAAAAAGGAAACAAAAAAAATCACAATCAGAGGCACGTTAAAGCAGACCGCTCCATTAACGGAAGAGGATCCGTCCTCCAAGCCCAGCCAAAGCAGATCGCTTTTGCAATAGGGTTCACGGGACTCTGCGATACAGCTCAGAATAATCTCCGGCTAAAGTTAATTTTTCCGGCGGCCTCAAAAAGCAGACTGCCTGAATTTTCCATTATTGCGAGCTCTGTGATCGAATTGTATGATTTGTGAGGAAGAAGCAAATGTTTGATAGGGTGGAATTTAAATAGGCAGGGGTTACTGTCCGACGTGGCGAGGATAAAACTTAAGCGTGTTCTCGGCTACGTGGCGAGAAAAATGGTGCAGTTTCTGCCACCCCTCGCGATTTTACCACGTGTCACTCATCGCTTCTCTCCTGTCCAATTCCCAGGATGCCCATCCTCTGCGTACGGGTTCCCACACTTGCCCTCGGGTGCGACTGTAACCGTACGCTCGCAAGCCCTAGTCTTGTCAAGGGGTAATTTTGTCAGTCAAATTTAAATGTCGAATCTGCCCTCACATGCGTCCAACTACCGGCCCTTTCCCTGCTAAGTGTTGTGTGGCAGTTTCGATATTCGGTTTCACTGTACTATTTCGCTGCCTTTTCCGGATATACTTGAATAAATTCTAAATTATATCTTCCCAGCTTGTTTTATCCACAAGGTTGGACTTGTAAATCCAACCATATATGGGGGGTGGAGTGGTAAAACTGGAGGGCCTCCTGACCGAGGCCACACGGGCGGAGCTAGGAAGCCCGTGCGGGAGTGACGTGAGAGTGTGGGCACACGCTTCCGGTGCGCCTCCTCGCATAACCGCTGTGTACGTTGCTTACGCTACCGCCCACCGCCGGGCCCGCCGCAGAAACAATTTTTTCATCCTGGCCGTCGGATGACAAAAAGCCTAACTCTGTGAGCCGGGGACACGCAATGGACTGACACCATTTCGAATAATTCCTTCCGTGTACCGCAACATGGTAGAAATTTTAGTATTTTTTTTTTTTCAAAATGATATATATTTTTTTAATTTAGTTTTGCTTCTTTAATTTTACTGGAAACTTTTGATAATTATCGGACGTTATATGTCTTAATTTGTTGGGTACAGTTTCTAAAAGGAAACCCTAAAAAATATAGTTTGACCTACCTTGAATATTACATTATACTAATAAAGGCATTCATCAATATTGATCATCACGCATGGAGGGTCAAATTATGTGCAACTACTTCCCATAGTAAGCTACCTTCAGTAAAGTCCTAAAATATGGCCATCAATCCCACAATTCATCATAAAATAGCCTGTTTTACTTATGCTTTAGTAAATTAAGGTACTTGATGGCAAATTCATCTTGAATTCATTTAACAAATCAAGTGTCTAATAGCATCTTAAGAATCCATGTTTTCCGCTAGACCAATTAACGCAGCAATTGGACTCTGATCCTCGCAGCCTACAGACGTCATCACAACCCATCACTACGATTTACGTGTGACAGCTTGTGCGGCTCCCAAATCTAGCCCCCACGACCTTTGGATATCGTCACAGCTCATCACTATGACTTATATGATCAATTACAGTTTACATGACTCACAAATCGTGTAGCTCCTCACTCCGGGCCGTGCGGTCTAAAAATATCATCGCAATTCCACACTATGATCTACGTGGCGCACTGCTCGTGTAGCTCCCGACTCTTGTTCTCGCGACCTACTAACGTCATTGCAACTTATCACTATAGTTCACGTGATTAACTTCAACTTATGTGGCATGTAACTCTTGTAGCTTCCTATAACCTCTTTTGTGGCGAACCGACGCACGAGGGGTAACCATCTGTGGCCCGCACGACCAACTATTAACATGACTTTCAACTACAACATATACAACAAGTTGGCACCTTAACCATCGCCTACAACATTCACGACAAATTATTTCCCTATAGCAAACAATTACGCCCCTTAAAGTATGTTATCACTAAGAACTACATTTAGTACACCTAGTCTACGTCTACTATTGATAAATAATAATTTAACACTTATAATGATCATATTTGTAACACATTATTTTCTAATCCAAGAGAAAAGTGGATCTATGTACTCAAAATATCATAGTATACAATTTTAATTGAGTCATGCCCCGTGAATTTTACCCATTTTCAGGATTTTCCATGTAAAAAGTTGAGATGTCTTCCTCCTACTTGCCTATCTCGTACCTAAATGTGTGTTGAGATTTTGTTCAACGCTAAGATACTAAATTTATAACTCTACTATGATGGACCTTAGGGCATGCATCAATAAATATCAATAATTTTAATACATGAATATCTTTAAACATGTTGCATAAATATGTAAATATCGGTATATACAACTAATAATAGAATTTATGGAAAAATTAATATACACAAAAATACAATCAAGATTTTTAAATTTTTTTACATGCAATCACTAAAATAAGATTTAGAAAATTTTTCTTTTTCTGTTGCAATTTTTATCTATTTTAATATATTCACAATTTTACATAAAATATTATACAACACAAAATATCACATAAGAAGTTAATTATCTTATGTTAATATGTTAAACACAATTTGTTCTATAATATACATAAAGTCATATATAGGGCTGTCAAAAAAGCTCGTTGTTCGCGAACAGTTCATGTTCGGTTCGTCAATGAGTTCGTGTTCGATTCGTTCGATAAGTAAACGAGACAAACGTGAACAAATTTTTTTCGTTCGGTTAGTTAAACGAACCAAACACGAACAGTGATGCGTTCGTTCGTGTTCGAATCGTTATTGTTTGAAATATAAAATAATATAAAATAATTATATATAAAAAAATTATTATATTTTAAAACATTAAATTTTATAAATTATAATATATAATAAAATAATAATATTAATATATTAATATACTATAGTAGTAATATACTAATATAGATATTGTATATTTATATAATATAAGTTATATAATTAATATATAATATTATTTTTATATATTAATATTAG